GTGGGATGGGCAGCGGGAAGAGCGGCACATGGCAGGGTGTTGGGAATTACGGGCCCACGGTGCTCAGCACTGACCCACAGCAGTGATTCACCTAGCACCAGGCACCAGCACTACACCAGCTTGGAAAAGCAAACTCACAGCACAGGAAATTCCCTGCGGGGGAGCCTATGGAAGGCGTGTCAAGCCAGTGAGGGGAGGGCAGGCAGACGGGGTGAGGCCAAGTGGCCTATTCTTTCTCTACACTGGAGCCCAGACCCCAAAAAGTGCCAAGGAGAAAAGAACCCACCCCAGGGAAAAAGCAGACCGCACCTCGTTCATGGGCGGCAGAGCTGTCCATGTGTTGGTGTCTGGATCGTACTTCTCTCCTGAGCTCAGCGTCTGTTTGTTCTCATCTTGGCCCCCGAACACAAACAAAAATCCTTCTGCGAAAGGCACAGAAACACACAGGATGTATGGAGCGGACCGTCAGCACCTTGCAGGTATCCTGCTGCAGAGGCCCGGCATTAGCGAACCCTCCCCAACTGGACAGTCTTTGCTCTGCTCTTGGTGACAGAGCGAGACCTGCGAATCACTCTGGCTGTGATGCTTGCTCCTTACAGTCTTCAGGGGGACTCTTTCCCTACAGCAGGAAGAGGAAGGCTGACACTATCTGCTGGTCACCAGGTGACTTGGGGCCTCCTCAATCCATCCCTGCTTCTCCCAGCTGTGGGTTTCCTCAGCATCTGACCCAAGCCCGCATCTGTTCTCACGATCCTAGGGATACTCCCTTTGCATGGGGCACCTATGTGCACTTCACATTCAAAGCAGAATCTAGACTTCCTGTTAAGCTTCTTATTTTGAGTAACAGTAGATAATCACTCTTCTGCAAATAAACACTTAAATTGCTGGTTAAACTTTCTTTTTTTGGTTTGGTTTTGTTGCTTTAGAGACAGGGTCTCCCTGTAGCCCCAGTGGGCCTGGAACTTGCTATGTAGTTCAGGCTGGCCTGGACCTCACAGAGATTCTCCTGCAGTTGCTTCCCTAGTGTTGGGATTAAAAGCCTGTGCCACCATGTCTGGCTGCTAAACATTTTAAATATAGTTGGCCAGGCATAGGGAGAGAGGAGTGGGGAAGCCCAAGAACAGAGCCCTTGACTAGCTGGACAAGGTCCTGGGTTCGATCCCCCCACTGCAGAAATGAGTGACTGAATGGGCCAGCTGGAACCAGGGCTCAGGTTTCTTTTTTAAAACTACATTTATTCGGCTGGAGAGATGGCTCAGCGGTTAACAGCACTGACTACTCTTGCAGAGGACCCAGGTTTGATTCCCAGCACCCACATGGTGGCTATGAACCGTCCTTAACTCCAGTTCCAGGGGAATCCGAAGCCCTCTTCTGACCTCCTCAGCATTGCATGACATGGGTGCACTCACATACATGCAGGCAATACAATCATATACATTAAAAAAAAAAAACCCCAAAGAACAAAAAACTACATTTATTTATTTACTGCTTTATTTATCGTATAGGGGTGTGCATGCCATGGATCATGAGTGGAGGTCAAGAGGACTTGTGGGAGTTGGTCCTCTCCTTCTACCATGTGTGGTCCAGGCATTGAGCTCAGGTTGTCGGGTCTGATGACAGACACCTTTATCTGCTGAGCCATTTCACCCTGAGCTTTTGTTTATCTGGGAGATTTCAAACTGTGATTTTGATTTTACAGCAATAGTGTTTGTAGGCAACTAACAGAAACAAATGGGAAACTCCCATGGAGAAATGAAAACTCTTTCGTCCGGTCCCAAGATTATGAACCAAGGTTTCAATTACTCCTATAAGTTATTTACTTATCTTTGAGACAGGTGTCCCTATAGCTAGCTCCAGCTGACCTGGAACTCACTATGTAGACCAGGCAGGCCTCAGTCTCACAGAGATCTGCCTCCCAAGGGCTGGGACCATGCCCAGCCCTACAAACAATTTTAAATAAAGTCATGAGCATCCACTAAAGGCACTCAGGCACAAAGAAACCAGGTCCTATGGGAAAACTGGCAGAAGCAGACCCCAGAAAAGGAGCTGCAAAGATTTCAGCACTGGAGTAACTAGAGAAACAATAAAACAATAATGCTTAGCATACTGCCAGGGAACAGAATGACAAAATGACAGCAGATCTGAAGAAAATTTAGACAAAGCTAGAAAAAATCCCAATCAGTGGACTAGTAGATTCATCAGCGCTGAAAACCAGAAAGAAAAAAGGGCCGACAAGAGGGCTCAGCAGACAAAAGAGCTTGCCGCAAAGGCTGATGACCTGAGTTCGATCCCTGGAACCCATATACCACCCACCATATCCAGTGTCACGAGGTGCTGGGGGATCAAACCCAGGCCACTCTACCATCTGAGCTATATCCTCAGCCCAGCTTTGAGCATTTTAAGGAATGCTGGTGGGCAGATGGAGCTTGCCAGGTGAGCTAGGGAGACCAGAGGTGAAGAGAAAGGTGGTCGAAGTGTGAGCCACCAGCCGCAGGCTTTCCTGCTGTGACAGCTTTGAGTCACAAGGGGCAGTTTTCTAACCTGTGGTGGTAAAGTAAAACATACCATAAAATACTTCAAAGCCTCTGTTTATTTAAGTACTGTTTTTACAAGAAATGCTTGCTTTCACAAAGGATATTTTATGGGGCTCTACGTCATGATTCTGACAGCGTGCACTCTGCAGAGGGAGGACCACACACTTGTCCAGGGATGGCCCACAGCCGACAAGGCCTGCCTGGCCTGTGCTTCTCTACTGCTCCTGCAGGCAGCTGTGAGCCAAGACCAGGAAACAAGTCTGATCTAAGACATTCTCCTCCCAACCACTGTCTTGAGAGCTGGGCCCACTGAAATATCACCACGTAGAGACCGTATCTTTAAGGGGGTTTGAGTCACTCTGCACAACCGGATAGGCTCTCACTTGTCTAGTTCAGCTAGAATTGAGCGGACAGTACCTGCAGAGAGGACGCCATGGTTGATTCTTGGCATGCTCAGAGGAGCCAGCTCGATCCACAGCTGCCGGTTAGGGTCGTAGAGAGGACACATGCAGCGCATGGCTGCCGTGGGTTTCCGAGAACTAAGGAAACACAGAATCCATCAGTAGCTAATGCCTGAAGTTCTGCGTCTAATAACCGCTGCTGGCTCCAGCACTCTAACAATGGTTAAAACATTTCACAAGTCCACGCTATTACGATTTAGACACCGAAAGCTATCTTGCACACCTGTATACAGGGAACCACCTCTGCCCGTGCACCTCCACTCACACTCTCTCCTCCCCGCCGATGGTCACGATGCACTCCGAGTAGCCCCGTGGCTTGAAGTTGGCCAGCATGGCCTCGCCCTGCTGCGGCTGGCTGAGCGGGATGTTGCTGCACTCTTTCACGATTTCCCGTACTAAGGGCTCGTTCAGCATCTGTTCCCGTAAGTAGCTGGAGTCCAGCCCTGAAACCCACAGTGCTGACATGACATCCTTCATGTGGACCTGCAGAAGAGGGGAGGGGAAGGGGGAAGAGAAAATGGGAGAATGCCACCCAGGCCTCAGTGCACAGTCTGACTTAGCACACAGCTAAGCACATACCTACCACCAGTGTCCCCTTTCCGTTTTTCTAAAAGACTTCAATTATGTGTGTGCATATGGGTGCCCTTGGAGACCAGAAGAGGGCATCAGATCCCCTGGAGCTGGAGTTACAAGCAGTTTGAGAATTGCCCAAGGAGAGTAATGGGACTCATATCCAGGTCCTCTCCAAGATCAGCAATGTCTGAAGTGCTGAGCCATCTCTCTAGTCCTTCTCTTCTTTCTTCTAATACAAAAATTAATTTTCATTTTTAATCATGTGTATGAGTGTGGGTACCTACAGAGGCAAGAGGGTGTTGGATCCCCTGGAGTTACAGATAGGTATAAGCTCCCTGATGTGGGTCCTGTCCTCTGCAAGAGCACAAGTGCTCTTAACTGTTGGGCCATCTCTCCAGCTCCTATTTTCTCCTCCTTTTCTTTTTGGTCTTTTTGAGACAGGGTCTCCCTGTAGCCCCAGCTGTCCTGGAACTCACTACGTAGACCAGGCTGGCCTCGAACTCACAGAGATCCGCCTGCCTCTGTCTCCCGAGTGCTGGGATTAAAGGCCTGCACCACCAGGCCTGGCTTCTTCTTTTCTTAAAGACAAGGTTTTGCCATGTAATCTAGGCTGGCCTGGAACCCACTATTTTCCGTGGTTCCAGCCGAGTCACCGTTCTGCTCTCCATCCCACTCTACCACCCAGAGTGTGGGGAACAGAGGGCTAATTAACATAAAATGATCAGTTTGTATTTGTTTGAGTATAATCTCAACATTTCAAGCAGCTTTCTTTACACCTAAACGGCTCCTATTTCAATGGGTAAACTGAGTATCAAACGGCTCCACTGCGCTCTGCCTCACACTGTGCTGCGACGAAATCACATTTAAAGAAGCATTATGTGTAACAGCCAAATACAATATGGCAAACTTAGGTACTATATCAACATTAATGCTATTAAAAAAGTTAGCAGGGCTGGAGAGATGGCTCAGTGGTTAAGACCACTGGCTGTTCTTGCAGGACCCAAGTTTGATTCCCAGCACCCATATGGTGGCTGACAACTTAGTAACTCCAGTCCCAAGGGACCCAATGCCTTCTTCTGGCTTCTAAAGGCATTGTACGCACGGCTGCACTTACATACATGCAGGCAAAACATTCGTACACATAAAATGTAAATAAAGGAAAAAGCAAAGCCCAAGTTCAAAACAATCCCAAGAAGTAAAATGTCATTCCTGGAACACTCACCACTAAAAAGGAGTATTTTTGTGGCTCAATGCACGGGGCATGCTCAGGGTGCGTGGCCACACACTCATGACTATCTCAACCAACCAGCCAATGCACCCATTGTGCATAAGGGGAAACACAGGTGATTTAAGGCAGACTTTCTTTATGCCAAAATGATAAAGCCCAGAATCTCGATGACATGAAGTTCAGACGGTCCAAAGGACAGGGAATTGCGTCGTTCTCCAGCCAGCGAGCAGCCCTACTTGAGCACCTTCACCACTTTCAGGCAGAGGATGTGCCGCAGAGTTTGGGGGAGCAGTTTGTGGCCTGAAAGTGGATGAACGGATCCTGCTGTGTCTCCTGTGTCACCTGACCACTGTGGGGAAGAGCACGAGGCGGCCTCATGGAAGCTAAGGACTGAGTGTGGCTTCTGAGTGTGCAAATTACACAATCTATGAACTGCAAGACGATAACATTAAGACTTGAGTCAGTCATTGCCAGGAAAAAGGAACAGGGCAAGTGTGAGTCCGACATCCGTCTCTGAAACCAACCCAATATGTTTCCTATTTTAAAACAAGTAACCGGAGCAACAGCTTGGAAACAAAGAGCCGTGTCTTTGCTCCCTTCCCTACTGCATTTGGATTCACAGGCTAACATTCTCTAAGATCAACTCCCAGTGCGACTCCTGCTTGCTACCTGGGGGGACTCAGTCCAGCATTTACCAAAGGGCAGGAGGGACAGGACAGCCATGGTGGCCACGTTCATTTCAGGAAACCCCAGCTTCAGCTTAAACTGTATTCTCCTGGTAAAAGTAGTGTACAATGGATACTATACCCCTCAAAGTGCCTGACAAACCATGAGGCACGTGGGCCTCTCAGATGGCTCCTAGGCAGGTGAAATGGCCCAAGTTTCCCCAGGGGTGTGTGGGTAAGCAAAGCACTGTTAAATTGGGTGAAAGCACTGCTAATGTTAATCACAGGCCTCTACTGTAAGCATCCTTTGCAATATGTTTCATTTTTTCCTCCTTCTCTTTCTCTTTGAGACTGTAGACCCCAGATGGCCTGGAACTTGCTACGTAGACCACACTGGCCTTGATTTCACAGAGATCCACTTGCTGCTACCTCCCCAGTGCTGGGATTGAAGGCATGTGTCACTGCTTTAAGCAGGTTAGGCTGCGGGGGGGGCTGGGGCTATCTGGCTCTGACTGAGCTGTTAGACCCTTTTCTGGTGTTGTGGTGCCTTGACTATAGGGTTGTTGGCTGAGCAGCCAGCTGGACTTCTTCATACCATCCCCACTGCCCTTTTCTAATATTTTAGTATTTTTATTTTATTTTTAAAAATATTTTATTTATTATTTTTGTTTTATGTGGATGAGTGTATTGCCTGCAGAGGTTAGAAGACAGCGATGGATTCCCCAGGAACTGGAGTTATGTAGGGTTGTCAGCCACCATGTGGGTGCTAGGAATTGAACCTGGGTCCTCTGCAAGAACAGTCAGTGCTCTTAACAGATGAGCCATCTCTCTGGCCCCCTATTATTTTTATTTTATGTGCATGAACTATTGCCTGCATGTATGTGAGTGCACCTGTGTCGTGCAATGCCCATGAGGTCAGAAGAAGGCATTGTATCCATTGGAACTGGAGTTACAGACAGTTGTTGTGAGTGCTGGGAACTGAACCTGGGTCCTCTGCAAGAGCAGCCAGTAACTGCTGAGCCATCTCTCCAACCAGAAGTGGGATGTAGAGACCAGGGAGACAATGAAGGCTATAAAGAGGGAAAGAAGAGAAACTATGGGCCCTGCTGCTGGGAGAGTTTCAGAGTGCTGCCAGGACGTAAAGTCAAGGGTCTCAGATACCCCAGCTCAAGAGCTATAAGACTAGCTGCTATAGGAGCTGAGGGAACCCTGCTCCGCTGCTCAGTGCTGCTGCAAGACCAGGATCAGAACAGCTGCCAGGACTGGTCCTTAAAGCCAGAGCAATCAGCCTCCATCCCAGGTATCTGTAACCCTAAGTACCTGACTGAAAAGCCTGGAGACACAGACTCCTAGAAATAAGCTCGCAGGGCTTTGAACCTAAGCCTCTGGGTCTGCCAGTACAGCCCCTAGGCCTTGGGCACCTGAGGGCCTGGAACTGCCAGCACTGGAGAAACTTCTCCTCACCCACCGGCACAGAAGGACCCAGACAACTGACTGCTCAAAGTCTGAAAGACCAATAGCTTAGCAATAGATGGAAGATGGTTTCCAGATATCTTTTAGATCACAATTTGGTAAGTCTTTCAAGTTGGAGAAGACAAAACAAGCATGATTTGTGCTAAAAATAAATGAAGGGGCTGGAGAGATGGTTCGGCAGTTAACAGCACTGGCTGCTCTTCCAGAGGACTGGAGTTTGGTTCCCAACACTCACATGGCAGCTAACAACCATCCCTAACTCCAGTTTCAGGGGACCAGACACCCTCTTCTGGTCTCCACTGCCATTGCACGCATGGGTATAAGTGTTCTGCATGCAGGCAAAACACTTCTACATACAAAATAAAAACAAATAAATCTTTTTTTAAAATGAGGGCTGGAAGAATGCTCGGTAGGTAAAGTGTTCTCCTGCAAGTGTGAGGACCTGAGCCGGATCCCCACAACCCATGTGAAAATGCTGGGCATGGTGACAAAAGCTTGAAGTAATCAGTAGAGACAGGAGAGTGGCTAGGCCTCCCTGGCCAGCCATCTAGCCTGACTGAGGGCTCCAGGTCTATGAGACCCTGTCCTAAAGAGGAGATGGTATTCCTCAGGATGACATCCATGGCTGTGCTCCAGGTACTACACACACACACATGTGCACGCATACACACACACACACACACACACACACACACACACACACACATCCATCATGTGCACCCGACCTCCCCTCCCCCAACAAAAGTAACAATGACTACGTCAATGAAGGGGAACCCAAGGTCACGCCCGCACCTTTCTTAACTCGGTGTCATGTGCTATCCACCGAATCACTGCTTCAAAAACGTATCTTTCATTGCCCACGTTCAACTTCTCAAGAGAAATCACTTCTTTGAGCTTCTGTGGACTCAGTTCTAGGAACTCCTCCGTGCTGCTGACGTCCCGAAAGTGAGTCTCCAGGTACTCGGTGGCAAGGTAATGAACATGGTGCAGGCAGTAGTGCAGCGCGAAGTCTCGGATGCCAATGCAGTTCTCGGCGGCGATGCAGCCTTCCAGGAACTCGCAGCACAGGGTCTTCAGGTCTGTGAGCAGCAGCAGGTCGGCTGCCTGTACCACATCTTGGATGGTATCTTCATTCAGCCTGATCTGTGAGAGTCACACACACAGTTCATATTTGAATGCAGGTATGTAAAACCCAAGCCACTAACCTATTAGGCTGATCCGGGGGAAATTCCCTTTTTAGTAGGTCAAAGATGAACAGTGACAATCTTACATGGCATAGTTTTCAAGTTTGAGGTACCAAGGGGCCTTGTCCTTCATAAACAGATGTGCTCATCTTTTTTTGATCTTTTGAGAACTGGAACTTGCTATATAGATGAGGCTAGACTTGATCCCACAAAGATCTGCCTGCTTTTGCCTCCTAAGTGCTGGGACTAAAGGTGTGTGCCACCACTCTTGGCATGTTTTACTTTTAATTTGTTCACTTGTCTCCAGCCTTTCCCTTGCAGTGCCAGCATGAACCTCTACTCACCCAGCTGAGGGCACCTCAGCTCACATCTGTAACTCAGAGAACTTAACTGCAAAGCTTAGGAATGCATGGTACATTCTGCTTTTAACGGAAACAGAGATTCTTTCTTTAAATACTAGTCCCAATGCTGTTCAAAGTCTTGTCTCCAAATACATCTAGCTTCCTGTCTGTCATGGTAGGCCAAGCGGGGCATGAGCTACTGGAGGAGGGGGTCTGCATCTCCACAGAAGCCCGGCTCTCAATGCCAAAGCATCTGGGCCTCCAACTACCTTCTGGAATAAAACTTTAATGTAAGGGACCCCATCATCAATGTCCACTTTTCCCCCACCTCGACTGGTGCCTCTTTATCTCCCTACATAACAGTTTCTTCACGTGGCCATTAAAGCAGTGTGCCACAAGACAGCACCCTGCTATGAGTGAGCTCCTCCAAGCTTCCCAATTTCAGAAAGGCCAATTGCAAGGGAGAGCCAGGACACTTGCTGCATTTCCCACCACTGACTTAAGAGGTGAACTGCCGATTGCCTTAGAAACCAAGTACAAATTGTGAAAAGCAGAACACTACAGAAAGGGACATGGCATACTTTAGGACATTAGAAACCACTACCTTTTCTTCTACACTGTGTGTGTGTGTGTGTGTCTGTCTGTCTGTGCACGTGTGCCATGATGCACTGTGGAGGTCAGAGGACAACTTGCAGGAGTTGGTCCTCTCCTATCTTGTGGTCCTAGGGATTGAACTTGGGTTGTCAGGCTTGACAGCAAGCACTTTTACCTGCCTAGCCACCTTGCCAGCCCTTTTTTTGGCAGTGCTGAGGATAGAGCCCAGGGCCTCATGCATTCTAGGCAAGGGCTCCATACTCAGTCACATCCCTAGCCCCAATGACATTAGATGCAGCCAGAAGACAAGGAACATGGTAGAGTCTTCAGATATAGGCATGTGAAGACCATTAAACTGCATCTCAAGTAAACCCAATGGCCAATTCAAGAGTCTGTTATAGCTTTAAGATGGCACCAGGGCTCTAAAGTCTAAACTGAGGACAAGTTACAGCAATCAATGTGCAGACAGTCCCAGGCTCAGTCCAAGCCTGCAGCGTGTGCTCAGTGGCCTGTCTCTCATTGAGCTCAGAGCTACACTGACTTAACTATGCAAGTCAGGGGGGCTGAGATGTCTGGTTCTGCACTGCTAAAAAGCGTCTCTTGGATTTTAAGGGCTATGCCAAAATCACTTCAGGTTCATTCGTTTATAAAGAATCATACACCCACCCAGCCACCATCCTGTGTTTGGAGAAGAGAGGAAGCAACATCATAAAGTCACACCACACATTCCAACAGGACTAGACTCACAGAGTTGATGAACAGAATGGATGTATTTGCAGAAGACAAGCACTATACCCTAAATTCTTAGAAACACCAGAGAAACAGCTTCCAGACAGAAGGACCACAGTGATGAGGAGAGTGCAGGGGAAGATCTGGAGAGAACGAGGAAGCACACGCACATGCCCAGTGTGAGGCACGCTACCCCCCTCTTCTGGTAAAACCATCCACCAGACACAGACCTAAGACTCTTCTGTTTTTTTCAGACTTACTTTTATGTAGGTGTATGTGTGTGCATGCACAGAGGCCAGAGGATTCCGTGGAGCTGGAGCTAAAAAGCTGGAGCCCTTGCCTAGGCAGTTGTGAGCAACCCTATGCAGGTGCTGGGAACCAAACTCAGGTTCTCTGAAGAGCAGCAAGCACTCCTAACTGCTGAGCTGTCCTTCCAGCCCTGCCAAGAATCTTCTCCTTAAGAGTACTATGCTAGTGCTCAAATCACAGTGAGGATGAGGTCAGTGCGGCGAGGAACAGCAAGGAGTCTAGCTGCTTATCTCCATAAATACTGCAGGCACTGAGGACAGGACAAAGCAGGAGGAAAGTGCAGGGCAGTGCAGGGCAGGCACAGGATGAGAGCGAGCCGCTTTCCCTGTGTGAAGCCCCTTCCGTGGGAGTGACCCACATGGAACTCTTCACTTCTGCAGAACAAGCCCCATGGCTGGGGAGGCTTCCACTTCCATGCAGTGGAAACAGAGACGCCCCCAACAGGGTGGGTGCAAAGTAAGACTGCAATAAGACATGGTGGCAAAGGACAGTGGGAGGGGTGCGCCCATTCTGGATCTCAGCCTGGAGGTGGAGTTCAGAACAGCAACAGGAACTGGTACTTGGTCTATGGTCTAACTGCTTTTTAGGAGCAGAGAGCCTGAAGAACACGTGCAGGTGCCATCGCCAGCAGGATGCCAGTGTCACTCTGCTAGGTCTGTCTCACCGTACCTGCCCACTGAAGATGTAATCCAGGATCTCCCTCATAACCATTACCGATATTCCTTCAAGTTCAATCTTATAAGTGGATCCGTCATCTTTTGGAGGATTATAGTTTAATTTTGTCCTAAGAAAGGGAAAAAAAATGTAAGATTTCTATGAAAGAACAGAAGCAGCTACAAATATTTATGCACTAAATACTCTATAATGTATATATTTATCAGCACGTATACCTCCACTTATGAAATTTAACTTTATATCTATGTTTTTACAGCTTCAACTACAAGACACTCGTTCTGGTATTCAAGTGCTACTTCTTTTTAAAATAGATTATTCTTAGTATTTTTAAGTGTGTGTGTGTGTGTGTGTCTGTCTGTCTGTCTGTGCAAGTGAGTGCAGGTGCCTGTGGAGGCCAGAAGCATTGGATCCCCCTGAAGCTAGAATACAGGGGGTTGTGAGCCACGCCACATGGATCCTGGGAACCAAACAAGGGTCCTCTTCAAGAGCAATATAAGCTCTTGACTGCTGAGCTATCTCTAACCCTCAAATACTATTTCTAAAACAAAACCAAAGCCAGAAAATCAAAGAACTAAACGTCATTGTGCCCAAGACTCACTATTTTACCTGGGAAACCACAGTTCTTTTGGCTTATTGTTATATGAATTTTATGATCTAATTATTTTCAGTAATTCCAAGATTCTATAAACCACTACCCAAAGCAAAAGCTAAGATGATGACAACAGTGGTCTGCTCATAGCCGGCTGCCTCCCCCCGACCCAGCCCTGTTTCCACCTGAAATCACTACAATCTCAACTGTAGGTTTTCCTTGTGTTTCTTTGTATTGCCGCATCCATGAAACAGATACTTAAGTTTTGAAACGGCTTTAAAAAGAAAAAAATGTAATGGCTAATCTTTTTTAGATTTTTAAAATTATTTTATTTATGTGTATGTATTGTGTATGTATGCACATAATGTGTGTGGGTGCCCGTGGAGGTCAGAAGCATTGTGTTGCATCCTATGGAGCTGTAGTTACTGGTGGTGGTTGTGAGCTGCCTATGTAGACCACAGAAACTGAACTCAGGTCCTGTGCAAGAGCAGCCAGTACTCCTAAACGCTGAACCGTATCTCCAGCCCCCACACTTAAGTTTTGAAGCTTTTTTTTTTTTTTTTTTTTTTTTGAGACAGGGTCTCCCTGTAGCCCCAGCTGTCCTGGAACTCACTATGTAGATCAGGCTGGCCTTGAACTCACAGAGATCCTCCTGCCTCTGCCTCCCAAGTCCTGGGATTAAAGGCATGTGCCACCATGCCTGGCTTGAAATGTGATATTTTTAAGGCAATTTAAAAAAATATTTATGTGTATATGAATATGTATGTGTGTGTTGTGTATGTATGTATGCCATATGTGTGTGGGTGCCTGTGGAGGCCAGAATAGAGCACTGGATCCCCTGGTGCTGCAGTTATTGGTAGTTGTGAGCTGCCCCATGTGGGTGCTGGTAACTGAAGCCAGGTCCTCTGCAGGAGCAGGAAACACTCTCAATGGCTGAGTGACCTCTCCAGTCTAAGCTGTTTTACTTTTACGAAAATGTGCGTAAGACATCAGCTCTGCTGTTCTTTCTACTGTATAATATTTCATTCTCCCGTGGATGGCCTCAGGCTGTCTCTACCTTTGTTTGGGTATTTTGAAACAGTGCCTTACTATGTAGCTCAGGTTGGCCTTGAAACTCAGTGTTGGGCTTACAGGTGTGTACAGGTGCATGCTGTATGCCTGGCTTATCTCCAGGTTTTGATACTATGACCACTGTTACTATAGTTACTACTCTAAGCTTTCCTTCTGTACCAGGTAAAATAGTAATTTCCCTTGGAACTAACCCCCCGGGAGTGAAACTGTTGCGTTATTTTCCAGAGGGGGTGAGTGGGTGATGACACTGAGAATTCTCTGCAGAAGCCAGGGCAGCCAGACAGCTGACCTGCTCCACAGACCAGCTGCAAATCCACAAACAATCATACTAACAGGGCTTCACAACCTGGAACACAGATAAGAGCAACTCAGGATATTGGCAGAGACATCCTAACAGCAGTGAGCAAAGGCAAACCACCATCTAAACTGCACCCAAAGGCTCAGGTAAAAGGAAGAGGAGGAGTTACAGGAGGAGGAGGGAGGAGCTACAGGGGAGGAAAGAGGAGTTACCGGAGGGAGGAGCTACCAGAGGGGGAGGGAGGAGCTACAGGAGGAGGGAGGAGCTACAGGGGAGGAAAGAGGAGTTACCGGAGGGAGGAGCTACCGGAGGGGGAGGGAGGAGCTACAGGAGGAGGGAGGAGCTACAGGAGGAGGAAGGAGCACCTACAGGCAGAGGAGGGAGGACGAGCTACATCAGAGCCCCTGACAAAGACCAGGGAACACCAATTCCCAGATTCTCTCTTCTAGCGTCCATGTTGCTCCTGTGAGCGGTCTAGCAAGGCTCTCCCTAGCTCCAGCAGAAAGAAGTGATTCCCATTCTGAAAGGGCTAGAACAAAAGGTCTCTGGGCAGGAGTACTAAATGCACTTGAGGGTAGGTATGTACGAGGAGCCATCAGTCTCTCTTCCCAAAGTCAGTTCAAGGACTAAAGAAAGCCTCTCACTGATATTTCTAGACAGAAAAGGGGGGAACTATGTTCAGGAAACAAGAATAGAGAGCTACTAAACGGAACCTCAAGAGAACAAAAACTGCTCTACACTATCAAGCTACAGTTCCAGTCCCAAGAACAAAAAACTTTTAATGACTGGAAAAAAAAAAGCAGGGTTCAAATAAAAGTTGAAGAAATTGAGGAGAGGAAGAGGGCTGGTGAGATGGCTCTGAGGGCAAAGGACCTCCACATAGCCTGGCAACCTGAGTTTGATCCCTAGGACCACATGGTGGAAGGAAAAAACTGATTCCTACAAACCCTTCTCTGTCTTCCATGGTCACTCCATGGCATGTATGCACACCCAACACAAAAATAAATACAACTTTTAAAAAAAGAAATAACAAAGGTAGAAAATAGAAGAGATAAATTAAGAATATTGGAAGATCAGCCTGTAAGGCTGACATTTTTTGGTCGAGGACTGTCCCTCGACCAAAGGGAAAAGTAAACAGAAGCACTCCCGAGAGCAAAGAAAACAGCCACTTCCAGCATGTCACCTGCTACCTGGAATGCTGGACACAGGGACAGATTCACAAGCCTTCAGAAAGAAAACAGATCAAAAAGAAGGTACAAAGGTCAGAATGGCTTCCTACTTACAAACCACAGGATACGACACCAAGGAGATAGCTTCAAAATTCTCAAGGAAAATGATTTCCAAACCAGAGTTTTTAAAATTTTTATTTTATTTCATTTTTTTTGTCCTTTTGAAGACAGACTCTCCCTGTAGACCCAGTTGTCCTGGAACTCACTATGTAGACCAGGCTGGCCTTGAACTCAGAGATCTACCTGCCTCTGCCCCCCAAGTGCTGGGATTAAAGGCATGTGTCACCACGCCCGGCGAGTTTTAATTTTTAAAAATTATTTATTTTTATGTGTGTGAGCATCCTACCTGAACGTATGTAAGGGCACCTGTGTCATACAATGCCCAAGGAGGACAGAAGAGGGTCTTGGATCCCCTGGAACTGGGGTTATAGACCACTGTTAGCTGCCATGTGGGTGCTGAGATCCACACCCAGGTGTTCTGCAAGAGCAGCCAGAAGTCTTAACCGCTGAGTCATCTCACCAGCCCCAAAACCTAGATTTTTAATAACTGGCCAAACTATTAAAATGTCAGGATAGAATCAAGGCCTTTGCTGCTTTACAAGCTCACAGAGCAACTTATACCTCTCATGCAACCTTCTGAGAGAGCATCCGGAAAATGTGCCCCAACCAGCCAAAGAAGGAAATCAGGAAAGGAGGAGATGCTGGATACTAAAAAGATACCATATGGACTAGGAAAGTAAAGGAAAATGAATGTGGACCCTGGATCAAAGCCAGGAACCAGTACAAAGAAGACGGTCCATCCTGGTGCCCAGAGGAGACATTTGGGACATCTTTAGGGTGATGGAAAGTACCTAACTGAAGTTTGTAGAAAGAGGATATTTGGACAAACTTCTTTCCTCTTGATATTTATTTTTATTTTATTTATATTTTTTATTTTTTGGAGTTTTTGAATCAGGGACTTCCTGTAGTCCCAGCTGGGTTGGAATTCACTATGTAGACGAAGCTGGCTCTGAATTCAGAGATGCACCTGCCTCTGCCTCAGTGCTAGGATCAAAGATGTGCGCCACCATGCCCAGCCCTCCTGATATTTAAAACCCTCTACTTCCTCTGCAGTTTCTAGAAACTGAAGATTTTATTCAAAGGTACTTTGCCTCCATTTGCAGCTTAGGTTTCTCTGTAGGCCTGATTTCTTTTACTGAAAGTGAAGAAAACATTTCAATTTTCAGTCAAGAGAGAAAAGTTTAGCTGGTATGACTGACAGTTGAGAGATTAGTATCTGGCTCTCAAGTCCATCCTGTGATCTGTCTGGCAGTGGTGTGTCTCCCTAGCAACCTTGCTCCTGGAAGCCATGACTACGGATATGTGTCAGTCACTGTGCTGTCGGGCAGCCACTCAGCTCCAAAGTCACCCTCTTTGCCTGCTCTGTGAAAGGGGATCCCGGCCCCTAAGATATTTTCTTTTGTAAAGTGGGGCAATGTTAAACTTTTCAGGAGCGCATACTGGAGAAACAAAGCAAAACAAGACTACAGGACAAGTGAGGCCTCTATTTCCTGGTCCTGGGGTAGAGGCTGGGGGGCTCCCATACCTCAGACTACTCTCCTGGCCTCGGGCTCCTGTCCTGCTGGTAGCACTTGGCAGGTATCCAGGGGCCACCTTCCAGCAAGTTCCACCACTGTGGCTTCTGCACCATTCAGTGAGCCATGAGTGTGTTTCGTCTAAGGTCGGCCTCAGAAGTCGTGGCTGTTCCTTGGATGTGTTATCCCTCTATTTTAAAGAGTTTTCTTTCCTTTTTACTAGCCAACCCATAATTATCCCAATCTCCTCTTAGAATTACTGTGCTGCTTTTGTCAACCTGACACAAGCTGGTCACCTGTGAAGGACCCTCCATCGGGGAACTGGCTTCATCAGACTGGCCTCCGGGC